GGGCAATGTCACGCCCAAACCTTCATAAACCCTTGCTCATCTTTCCTGGGAGCTGATCGTCGAACTCTGCTTGCCACATTCAGCCCTCGTTTTAAACCGAAACTCATTATGGTGACCAGATTTATTCCCCGGCTTCCTGCTACTCTCGTAGCTTAACTCTATCCATCACCAAGGATTACGTTTGTGCCTTGGTGCTTTTCGCTCTTTCCGTTGAGAGCCTCTATGCAAAGCATTTTTTCCATCCTTGTCTGATTGCCGTGATGCCATTGCCTTCGTACTATGTACGTCTCACGATTCACAATCCATTTATGAATGGTCCCGATATTAGAGCATTCTTTATTCGTTCGCCGCCCCTTTTGCTCCGTCCCTTTTCCCTCTTTGGCTACATTCACTCTTGTTTTCCCCTTCAGTTACCACCTTTAGATGTTCATGTAGCATCTCACTTTTTCCCTACCCCCTGGGAAGTTCCAGCTGTTCGGGTCTGTTCTTTCTCACTTCCCTTGCTCGAAAGCTAAAATTGCCTATGGCGGTTTCCCCGCTCTCTTTTTCTTGATCACTTCCACTCCCATTCTCATCCACCGCTGTGTACACAGATGGCCTAAGTCTTCAGACGGCGTCGGATTCGCAGCAGTTTTTTCCGGACAGCGTCGTGCGGGGGCATTTACTATCTTCGGCAAGCATTTTTACTGCTGAACTGTATGCCATTCTTGCAGCACTTATTCGTACGCATCTAGCCTGTGTCATCTTTGTGGTAGTCTCAGACTCCCTTAGTGCTCAAACAGGCTATACGAAAATTTGATACATCTCGCCCCCTAGTTCTCCGTATCCAACTTTGGCTACGCCGAAATCTCTACGAAGCATAAAATATTATTTTTTGTTGGGTCCCTGGTCATGTCGACGTACAGGGCAATGAACAGGCAGACACTGCGCGCGGTCAGCAGTACATGACCTACCAATTTCCTATAGAGGTGTTCCATTTCTGGACTATTTTTCTACAATAAACTGCCCACCTTCGCACCCCTTGGCAACAACGTTTGGGCAACTCTGCTTGGTAACAAACTTCATTCTATTAAACCGAGCATAGGTTAACGGCCGTCTTCTTGTCATCAGTGCCGTGGTTGGGGGACCACTCTCTCCCGTCTTCGCATTGGCCACACTCGTCTTACTCACGGTATCCATGAAGAGGCACCCTTTACCTCTCTGTGAGCAGTGCCAAGTTCCAGTATCGATTAGCCGCATTCTGTTAGACTGCCCTCTCTAACAACGAGCACGCAGAATTTACCTCCAACGCCGTCTTCGTTCTACTACTCTCTCTTTACCTTCCTTCTTGCTGATGGACCCTCCTTTAATCCTGACTCTCTCCATTGATTTCTTGACAACGACTGATTTACTCCACAAACTCTGATGATGATACCTTACACACTCCCCTCAGCCCTTTCTAGCTCAGTCTCTTGCTGCCCTTTACCCTTTCACCATCCACTGCTCCGCTGTTATCCGTAACCTATTACTCATCCACCTCCCTTTTGCCACCTGATGCCCTTGCTTCCTTCCTGCCCTGCAGCGCTGTATAGCCCTTGTGGCTTAGCGCTTCTTTTTGATTATAATAATATGTAATA